TGAATGTGAGTGTGCTTGGTTGTCTGTCTCTAAGTGTAGCCCTGTGATAGACTGGTGACCTGTCCAGGGTGTCCCTTGCCTTCACCCTGAGTCGGCTGGGATCGGCTCCAGCCCCCCCGCGACCCTAGTGAGGATTAAGCAGTGTATAGATAATGGATGGATGGATGGAACTTCAAAAATGATCATGTTATAAGCACTTTAAAGGAAACCAGCAGTATTACTATTTGCTTCACTTCCAATCATCCAATACAAACCATATCTTTTTAGATTAACCCCATTTAATGACTTCAGCACATGCCTATAAGATTTTTATTTATTTTTTAAAACTTGTGGACACTTATAAATTGAGTGTCTGCTCAGCTTCCACACCTTCTACGTTTGCTCCCAAAAATGTTGGCCCTGACTGGAGAGAAAAATGCCAGACGCAGGGGGAGAAATGGTGAAGTTGTCTGCAGCAAACTATCATAGAATTACACATTATGCCAACAGGATAGTCTCCTAACAGGCTGTTTTTTTTTTTGCATTGCAACCATGAAGACGTCTCTGTACCAAATTTAGAATTTGTGACAGTGACAAGTTTAACACAGGAAAAATAAAATAAAATGAGACGATCCAGCCATTATAAAATAAAAAATAAAAAAAATCTTCATTGTGCATCTGTCACACCTTCAACTCCGGGGTCATTATTTTTTCCTCCCTCCACCACAGGACAGTGTGACATGAGCTCAGCCCTGCCTGGTGTTCCTGCTGACCTACAACTCTGCAGCTCACAGATAAATCCTCCTAATTGGACACTGGCCAACCCTGTGGCACAATACAGAGCAGGCTTGTTTAAAAATACACATGATCTGCATGGTGCACCTACAGTTTCCCTTGAGCTGCTCGCCAGTCAATTTATTTAGAGATCCCACCTAAAGCTGACGTTCATTGTTCTGACATCAGAAACATGCATACAGGTGAGCACGTGGGGGGAGGTGAAGCCATACATGAATGTGGGCACTGTGGCAGCATGTCTGGTATATTTGAGCAACAGGGTGGTAAGAATCAGGCCACAGAAGATCAACACGGATCATAACCTCGCTTCAGAATTTTTAACATTATTCAGCGGCTTGTTTGTGGTGTTACACAAACCAAAAGCCACACAAATAGTAAGCTAAAATGAACGCTAAATATGAAAAAAAAAAAAAAGAAGGCAGAAAACACCCATTATCTGTTGTTTTCTTCCTCTAAACATCATTAGTAAAGCCTTGCTGAAACGCAGTGTAGCCATAGAAATAAATCCTGGTTACTTGGTTTTACACATAAAAGATTGCCTTGTTTTGTTTTTTTCTTCTTTTTAATCCCTCTTGTTAAATTTGAGCCAATCACCCTGCAGTCACAGGCCTGTGTTGGCTCTGATTAGCCCCGTTCAACCCTGCTGTGGAAACTCTGCCTCTGTGTGTGTGTGTGTGTGTGTGTGTGTGTGTGCGTCTGGTCGCTCTTTGACTGAAAGCAGAGCGAGCCGGGCGCCGGTTTGAACCTTCAGCTGCGGCACAGTTTAACGTCACATAATGCCATTAGACCGCAGACGTCTGCTGAGCTAATAACGAGGACCAAAGAACAATGCGGCGCGCTGAAAAACAGCTTTTCAGACAGAACCCTTAAATCAGATGAGTGCTGCTTTTAAAAGCATGTTGTGACTATGAACGACACAATCAAAGGCTCACCTGCTCTCACAAGTTCTTCAGAACATTTAGCTGATTAAACTGTGGGTTTACAGATGAGCAGGATGAACGTTAAGCACATTTTGTTCAACTAACATTCACCAAAAATAAATAAAAATGTATTTAGCAATAATTGTGAGGATGTAATTTTTCCAGTTTGACTGACATGGCAGCTCCGAGAACCCTAATATTAAAGAAAATGTATGATGAATAATGAATTCAGAGCTCAGTTTAATGCTGTATAATAGTGTTTAACTAGAGGCAGAATAATTAGATTTTGTATTCATCTGTGCCATCCAGTGGTGCAACCGTGAACTACAGTTCTTACCACAAGTATAGTATTGTGTTACTGAGTTCTCGTGGTATAGATTAGATAGAACTTTATTCATCCCTTTGGTAGGGTACCTCAGGGAAATTGTTTTGGTATTTTATCAGTCCAGGTTCAGAGATACACGTCTCTGAGATTTCCCAAATATTCTCCCCAAGGAATTATTAATATTAAATAACTCATTTTATCATCAAAGACGGGTTTTGTGCTCTTTAGAGTCTCCAGAGCTGTCCATCCATCCATCCATCCATCCATCCATCCATCACACTGGTGAGCTGATTTTGAACATTTGCAATGTGCTGAATCTAAATATTACATTGGTTTTGCTCAATGAGGTCAAAATTTTGCAGTTTACTTGGATTTACCTTTACAAATGTTTACGCTCATCAACCTTTGGATCCTTTAGCTTATGAAAAGGATTAGAAAATGAAATTTTTTTTCTAAAATCCGATTTCATATGAGAAATACTAAAATAAATCAATCTCTAATGTCAAAAAATGTATCGATTTACTGGCAAAATCAATTTTTTAAAATCGAGTTGGCATAAAAACCTGACCTGATACAGAAAAGCAGATGTCATGTTTGGATTCAGCGTTGCAAAAATGTTCTAAATCAGATTTTTTTTAAAATCCTTGGACCCCTTCAAAAAAATATTTTTTGTAACCCAGTGTTATCTATACACCGCTTAATCCTCACTAGGGTCATGGGGGGCTGGAGTCTATCCCAGCTGACTCAGGGTGAAGACAGGGGACACCTGGACAGGTCACCAGTCTATCACAGGGCTACACTTAGAGACAGACAACCAAGCACACTCACATTCACACCTACAGACAATTTAGAATCACCAATTAACCTCAACATGTTTTTGGACTTGTGGGAGGAAGCCGGAGAACCCGGAGAGAACCCACGCTGCACGGGGAGAACATGCAAACTCCACGCAGAAAGATCCTGGTGTCCTCACCGGGACGCAAACCGGCGACCTTCTTGCTGCGAGGCGACGGTGCTAACCACTGATCCACTCCAGAGTTGTGCTGAAATGATTATTTCATTCCACTGGCGTACTGGGAGACGGTTAATGACCAATTCTGATAACTGACTAACGTTTGTATAACATCCTCTGGTCCCATCGCTGCTTTTCATGTTTTATAAATAGAACAGTATTGGTAATTAAATATCTTGAGTTTGGACTGTTGGGCAGACAAAACCAGCAAGCTAGAGATTTGACTTGGGAAATATGATGTGTGTTTATGTCGTGTGACTCACTGGATGTAGACTGCAGCTTTAAATCTGCCTTGACTGTATTTCACACACTCTACTCTCCCCTTCTGCAGTCTTTGGGTTACCATTTTCAAAATTGTTCTTACAAAATCCAACCTACCACACTGACAGTTTGGATCGTGCAATAAGGCAGCCCTGCTAGGGTTTTTGTTTTGTTTTTTGGTGAATAAGGCATTTTAATGACACCTCTTTCCTCCCTGCATGCAAATGTTTCACCAAAACAATTCCCTCCATCATTGCTTTAAGTGAACACCCTCCTACTTCCTGTTCTACCAGGACAACTGTGATTGGTTTAAAGAAACACCAACATGAGATTTTTTTCCTTCTATAGAAGAATGATAATGACTTTCAGTCAGACCATTCTGCACATCAGCATTCAAGAATGGTCTGAATATGTGAGGCTGGCATTTGTCAGACTACATCTCACACACCAACATGTGAGGTGTGTCAGAAAAGTTTCAGGACTGGTGTCACAAAAGATGTATTTCAAATCCAAACTACGAGTTTTCTCCCTCCGAGTAATCCCCCTGGAGTCCAACCACTTCCCCAGTCTTCTCTGCCACGCCGCCATGCACTCCTGGAAGGATTCTTCCGGGATCCTCCGCAGGTCTGTCGTCACAGCCATCTTCATGTCGTCCACGTCTTCAAAACAGGTCCCCTTGATGACCCCCTTGAGCATTGGGAAGAGGAACAAATCCCACAGAGCCAGGTGGGGTGAGTAGGGAGGTTGCTCCAGCACAGCGATGTTCTTCTCAGCCAGGAACTGTGGGATGCACAGGGCATGGTGAGCAGGCGTGTTGTCATGGTGAAGCAGCCACGACTGGTCCTGCCACAACTCTCGCCTCTTCTGAACAAAACAAACGCTGCAGGATCTCTTTGTAGACGTGCTGGTTGATCGTCTGAAGGGGAAAACTGGTAGTTTGTAGTTTGGGTTTGAAATATATCTTTGGAACTTTTATGCCACACCTCATAATCCAAGTAACTTTGTGTGATGGAAGATGACATGTCTGCGTGTATACAAACGCACAGAACAGAAACGTGTGTCTGCCTAATGTGACTGATCCGTCTATTCAGTGCATTTAAAAGTGTATTGAGAGAAAAGACAGACAGGACATCGCTTCATCTTCAAGCAGCAGCATCAGACAGCTGCCAGACTTTCTCTTCAACTTTAAATCAAAGGCAAACAGCTGTTTCCACCAGAGAAAATATATATATATTTTTAAAAAAACACAAAAGTAACAAACTCTATTTACACAGTAATACAAAACAATTCTCCCACTAGACCTCTAACGTCATTAATTTGAGGACCATTCAATATGAAGGTCACTTATGGTCTTACTGAGTTAAAAAAAAAATAAAGTCACAGGATTCTTTCGGGCTCAGAAAAGCAGAGAGTGTGAATGGATGAAGTCTCTCTGCAGGATGAATAGAGACACTGCTGCTGGTACATGAAGGAAAAAATCCACATTCTAACAGGAAAGATACAGTCGTTGCGAATACACCTTATATTTCTAAACATTGTCTCGTTCGGACATTTTCAATTCCTCTGAAACATCATCAGTCAGGTTTTACCATTGACTGAACACAACAGACTTCCACTTGCCCTCTGGAGCTCGTTGAAATGCATGATGGGAGTCAAGCTGCATGAAAGTGGGAGCGGCAAGGAGGTAAACACTTCATCTGATTCCAAAATAATTTCTGGAAAGTCAGTGAACATCCGACATAGGTGGCACCTGAGATTTCAATTTAGGAGGTAACCATGGCGACATCGGCAGCAGCAGCAGCAGCAGAAGAAGAGGAGGGGGTCGGAGTCGATGTAACCGTGGTGACAGCAGCAGAAGCTGGTGTCTGTGCGGTGACAGACGGCTCAGCAGAGCGAGCGGGAACTGGCTTAGCGATCTTCATGGGAATGAAGACGTTTGAAGCGCAGTGTTCGCTCAGATACTCGCCTCCTTTCTCCTCGTACTCCTGCCTGCTGATCCACCCCTCAGCTCCTCCTGCGCCTCCTCCAGCCGGGTGCTCCAGGGCCCAGGCTCGTGCTCCATACCAGGCGTCCAGGGCCGGCTGTGACGCCATGGTCACCTGTTCAGAGTTTAACTGGATTAGATTACCTCCACTTCTCTCTTCTTTTCACTCTCCTTCTCACTTCTGTACACTTTTCTTTTTCTTTGCTCTTTCCCTCTATCACGTCCAGCAATATTATGTAAAATTCAGTAATGAGCAAGCATTCAAAATAAATGAATGAAATAAAATAGAATGAGCAAATCAATAAATAAATAATAAATAAAATTAAAAATCTGATTATCAAGAGGAGCCTTATACTCATAAAGCTCCCGACGCTGGACCGGACACGTTAAAAAAATACATAAATTAAAAAAAGATTACCTCTACATTAATTAAACATTACATTTAATTTAAGCATTTTCTCAGTTTTGCCAGGGAGGATTTTAGTTTTAATATTTTTTACTTCACTTATTCTTTTTCCTAAACCAAGCTTTTCTCTATATTTTAACAGCAGTGCCTCATAATCATGAAATTTTATTTAAAGATTGTCGTGCGTACACTTGTGATTCACAACTTGTCTTTTTCTGTCCATTTTATGACTGTATTAGTTTTAGATTAATGGTATTAGCTATGGAGTA